ACTGCACGGAGGGCCGCGGCCGCGCCGCCTCACGGCGCGCCCCCTGGCCACCCAGTCCCTCGAGGGGCGACCGAACCCAGAAACCTGAGCACTCCTCCCTGCTGCACGCCAGCCTCCCACATCCCTCACTCGGCCGCGGCGACACCAGCCGAGCGCCCGGAGTTTTCTTCCCGGGACTAGCGAGGGTGCTTTTGGTTAGGAAATTGCAACGGATGGAAAAAAGGCCGCTCCCTCCTTCCCCTCCTCTATCCCAGGGAAGAAAACGTCCCCCTTTCGTTTTTGACAGCCGCCCCACACTCCACGGTCCCCGCTCCAGCAGCGGGAGAAGACAGCCGCTTCTGATTCAAGGGGCGGAGCACCGTAGGAAAAGTATTCGGGACAAGAACCAACTTCTTCCAGAATGCGCAGCTGCCATTGACACGCGGGCGCGGCGCGTCGCACCCTTCTCCCAGGGCTCTTCCTCCAACAGCGACAGTGCGCGGGAGGGGGGAGGATGACACACAGACGCCGAAGGCAAATGACTGTCCCCCCCCCACCCCGACCCGCTAAAGCTGCGAGTTCCGGACTGGATTGCAAGGCAGTTTCGAAATCTAACACGTTGCGACGGACACTTGTCATGCTCACATGCTCTTTAAAAGTCTGTGGCTGAGGACGAGAGCGCGCCTGCCCCGCTGCCACTCGACCTGACCCTCCCACCCTGACTCCGACAGCCGCCGTCTTTATTGAAACGGGGGTTCCCACACCAGGGCTGCTCATCTGTTCCGGTAAACAGTCCAGTTTTAAGACTTAAACTGCTAGGGGACCCCTTTCTCCACGGGTATTTCAAACAAATTAGCCATTGAGTAAACACGTTCCTGTTGGTTTATTTTGGTTGAGAGGAAGACTCCAAAAAGAGTTCCTTGCTGATATTACCCTTTAAAAGACCAGGTGCTGTTTGGCTAATTAAGAAACGCAAGCCCCCTCACCGCCCTCTCCTCTGGGTCTGGTTTTCGCGTGTGTCCTGTTGCTTTGAAGTAAACGAACTGTCACATACCACTGTAAGACTTTCCCCATCACTTAAAAAAAAAAAAAAACCCAAAACGTAAATAATCCTAGTAGAGACGTCAGCGCACAAGACTGCCTCCAGTTTCGGATCTGTGCTGTTTTTGTTCTGTGACCTCGATGGAGAATCCGAAAGGAGTCAACTCCGTGGAAATAAAGTTAAACCCGAGGAGGACTAAGGCAGCCAAATGATGACTTAGACTTTGGAACTTCTGTTTTAGGATTACGCTGAAAATTAAAGCCAGCCTCCCTCTCACCCCCCCCCCCCAAAAGCACCCCCGCCCAGAGAGTGAATTAAATCCACAGTGTACAGAACTTTGGGTGGTTTTTCCAATTACAGGACTTAAAATGAATAAACAAGGGAAAACGCGTCATTCTAAGAAGGCAGCAACCTTACGAATTTTTTCTTTCTGCGGTCTGCCGACTGTTCGGCACCTAAGAGAACACATCTGAAACGACAAAGCAGGGAAACGTGGTCCTGAGGAAAACCACCAGCCTGGAAGCTACGCTGCGACTTGCTGGAGCACAGCTCCTTTCCCGGGCCTGGCTGGAGATGAATCAGCTGCTGCGCCGGAGTGCGAGACAGATGTGGGGCGGGGAAAAGGTGGGGGCCGCCGGTTAGAGGGCAGCTCCGTGCTCGCATTTGAAGGGTTGTTTGTTGCTGGGATTGGTGGCTCATATCCGCTGGGGAACCGGAGAGGAGGGAGGAGAGAAGCAGGGAGGAGGAGCCGGGGGCCGACTGACGCTGCGACTCCGCGGCGGTCGGAGTGGCCTGAACCTCGTCTGGAACAGCGCGGTTACTGGGGAGACGCTTTGTTTGCTAATTTCGAAAGCCGCTTCGGCTGCCTCCGCCGCTTTCGAAGCCGCTCAACAAAACACGCCTTCGAGTCGGCTAAACCCGCCCCTTGGCCGCTTTCAGCGGCTTGAAACAAAAATGTTTCCTTCTTCCGCGTGTAACCACGCGGTGGCTCTCATTCTGTACACAAAGATATCTTTTTCTTCGTCTAAGTGAACTTGGCTAATTACTGCGATTCTCAAGCAACCGCGAAGGAAACCAAGAGTTTGAAACGAGTTTATAGCTAGAAAACAAACTTTAGAGGGGAAAGAGGAGGGGCGCAGAGCATTAAAAGCCTCTTTCAAATTGCGAGGAGGAAAAAGTCGCGTTTCAAACACTTCCTGGAGGTCTGTCTGGATTGATCCGGCCAATGTTCATCTTTTACTCGAGCGAATCATATGAAGCAGTTAGTAAAGCTGGCCAGACGCTCCAAAGAGGAACACGGGCACCATTCTGTGTGATGGCCTCCCTAGTAGATGTCACTCATCCCCACCCCAAACTTGTTTGGGGTTTTGGATCGATGATACATTCTGGGAAGAAAGTGCCTGAAGACAGGCAAAGAAAACAACCCCAAAGAGTGAGCTCGAAAAACCAGCAATTGCTTAGGATATTTTTTGTTTATTTGCTTTTCCCAAAGTGGAAAAACAAGATTCTGTTATGTCTCTGTGAGTTTCTTGATGTCCCAGGCAGGGCCGCTCTATAAAACTGATCAATGACTAGATTCTTTGCAGTGCTCAAAGAAAGTAAGTAAGTAAGTAAGTAAGTAAGTAAGTAAGTAAATAAATAAATAAATAAATAAATAAAATTACACATATATAGAGAGAGAGAAAGAGAGAGTGAGAGATTCCCATTTGCTACATATTATTTGCTGAATTCGTATGAATGTTAATTGGAAAACAGCAAAAAGTGTGATGCTTGGTGCTTGAGAAGGCTGCTGATAAATATTTTTAACCATTATTTTTTCCCTCCAGGCACACATAGTTCCATTAGGTGCATTATCTTCTGAAGCTGCTTCAAAGACAAGAAAAGAAATAGTTGCTTTTTACTTTTCTCAGCCTGCAAACTTTTCAAAGGCAAAATCAAAAAGAAACTTAGAAAGGCAAATGAACCAGAAAAGTATATCAACATGCAGTTGTTATTTTGATGCCAGGTCCATCAAGTGATGGAGGAAGGTATTTCATTCATCTACCCAACAAAAATTGATTAAGCATGAATTCCATCCATCCCAGCACTGTACTAGGTAAAGAAACGATGACTCAGTCGTTGGATTCCTTTTGCTTCTAGTCTCTGGAAGACGGATATTTTTTAAAGATATGCAGACTGCCAGGCTCCAAACACTGCATAAAGTTTCTATAATCATCTTTTCACATCTCAGGTCTGGGGATTGGGGCTGCTTAAGGAAAAGCTGACTATTGTCTTTTCAAGGGCCGGAGGCAGGGCTACAACCATCTTTTGATTTTTATCTACCTCAGCAGGATTATCTTCTCTTCTTAGTTACATGAATAATGTAACTTGTGCCACTACTTTAGTTTGTAATCACTCTTCTCCTAGCCTGCACTTCCTTTCCTAGTCCTTCTTTCCCTCTGTAGCACAGTCCACATTTTTCTTTGCCCAGAGGCAAGGGGACCACAGAGTGAAAAGATAATTTGTTAAGCACAGCCTCTATCTGCCACATCATGCATCTGTATTGTGCTTTACAGTTACTTAAATAATACGTCCGAATATAACAAAGCTAACAGGTATAAAACCAAGTATTGGGCATAAATTATCCAGCTTTAAATTAAATGTTCTCCGTCATCTTTGGTGGAAGATTTGGTGGATGTGGAAGGCAGTGTAGGGCAGAGACTATCACAGATTACAACCTGAGGGCCTCTGGAACACATTTCTTCTCTGAAATATACCTGTAGTAGTTTTACAAAGGCTCTCTTCCAACCTGCCTGCTTTTTGTGCTTTTTTTCTTCTCCTTTTTTTAATTGTCAAAAAAAAAAAAAAAAATCTTTTCTCAAAAAGTCAAGCAAGAAAGAAGTAATATACATAAATATACTACACTCAAATGTAAGGGATTTTTTATTGTTATTTGTTGTTTTCAAGTCCACTTGACCTGGGATGGTCCTATACCACTTGCTTCACATGTGGCTGTTTTTCACCAGTCAAAATATGGCCTAACTGTCACCTTCTCAGAGGAGTCTTTATGATATCCTGACCTAAATTTAGATACCCATACTGCTACCATCTAACTCAGGGTTTCTCAACCAGAGCCCTATTAACATTTGGGGCTGAACAATTTGTTGTGGGGGCTATCCTGTGCATTGTAGGATGTTTAGCAGCATCCCTGACCACTAACCAATATTTGCCAGTAACACCCTCTCCCCAAGTTGTGAAAAACAAAAACGGTGTCCAGATATTGCCAGGTGTCATTCGAGGGGATGGAAATGGGCTAGGGCAGGAGTTGGGATTGAGGTGGGTCGGGGGAGGACCACTTCTGTTTGAGAACCACAGATCTAGCTTAACCCTTTATTTCTTCCATAACACCACAATATTTAACTATTTTGCTCATTTGACTATTAACTTGTATATTTTCCTTTAACTCCCGGCTTCAGAATACCAACCCAGTTTTTAACTTACTCCCTTTCTCCTGCTTCCATGAAAGTAGTTAATCTATTCACGTATTTCCATTTATCTTCCCAAAACTGTAGAGGATCAATTTATAATATTAGTAAAACAATGAAATATCTAGGTATAAAATTAACAAGAAATATGTGCAAGTTTTATAAAAAAAACTTTAAAGTTCTACTGAGGGACATGAAGGAAGACTTGTGTACAATAAAAGATATAACATTCTTTCTAGCAAGATTTCATAGTGAAAGCAGAAAGTTGTTTATTGTCCCCAAATCAATCTTTAAATTCAAAGCAATTTCCATTAGGAAATGCCAAAAGGATTTTTTTTTTTAATTCTCACAGTTAACCAAAATTAAAGATCTCAGGATAAGCAGGGAAATTCTAAAAGAGAAGAGTTGAAGGTGGGGGAGAATAAGGGAAGCACCATCAAATATTAAAGTGTATTTCGAAGTTGATATTAAAATGTAAAAGTTTTGCACTGAGAATAAAGAGGAAACAACAATGAGACATTAAAATACATATAGAGACTTAGATTTTGACAAAGGTGGCCTTTCAGATCAAGTTTAAATTGAATTGAGACAATTAACTACTTTAAGTTAAAAATAAAGCAGGATCTCTATCTTACTCCTTTAACAAAAATAAAATCTATTGAGTCAAAGATTGAAATGCTAAGATAATTTTAAATGCACTTATATATGTTATAGAACAGGCAGAGTGTGTGTGGCAATTTAGTCTCCCAGGTACATTTGGCATTGTTTGGAGACACTTTTGGTCATCACAACTGAAAAAGAGGGAATGATACTGTCATCTAGTGGATAGAAGCCAGGGATGCTGCTAAATATTCTACCACATACAGAACAGACCTCCACAACAAAAATTATCCTGTCCAAAGTGTCCATAGTGTGGCATTGAGACAACTTCTTCTGGAAGAAGACATGAATATGATCTTAGAGTGGGGAAGGCCTTTTGAATCAGGACACAAAATCGAGAAACAATAAAAGATGTAAAGGTTTATA